CAGAGTTGGATGGAGAAAACTGGTGGGCGGCCTATGCTCCATTTGGGGTAACAGGCGAAAGTAAGTAAGTAAGTAAGAATACTAACTACTGGCCAAATCATTTATTGTCTTTTCTTTGAATCAATGATGGTGCCCTGTTGTCATTATTTCTGACAGCATCAAATTTGCCGACCAAAATTCACTTGTTTGATCTGGTTGATTGAAAGAAAACGTAATATTTGTTCAAAAAAATAATATTTTCCGAAAGCCTACATATTGTCTTCAAAGTCTAGATTACAAACCGGCACATGCCCTTTCTACAAAGATGAAATTTGTTAATAGTTTGATCGATAGATTTCATAAATTCGTCACTCAGCAAAATAACAAAGAGATAGGAATGAACTTTACGGATTTTCACCTTACTGAGAAATAATTATTTGAGTGACTTTACGACGAGAATAATGGAGAAAAAAGCCCAAAAATGTTATACAAAAGATTGACCAAAAGAATGAGTTAACACTGTTGAATCCATAACGCAAAGGAACTTATAGAAAAGATCAGGAGGATCCTAAATCACCACACTGTGACAAACAGTACTATAAATACTGAACTAATAAGAGTAAAAGACTCAATTAACGTGAAAGAACTATTATTCTGATTCATAATGATATTATATTATGACAATAATGGAATTATCTTAATCGCTAACCGAATCGCATTTAGAATATTGTATTCACGGCAGGACATTTGTAACTCACGGAATTATTTTACTTCTTTCGATAACACAAACGACGTTCATGCTTAAGGTGAGTTCGTTCCATTTATTTTGCCGTATCTTACTATTATGTTTCGAATCGCTTGTCAATGCAATGGCTCAATGACAATTATTATCCATTTTTATTTCTGTGGCTATACGATTATCGCATTGGAGATATCTTCGATGTATTCATCAGCTGCTCGTACCTCGAAAATCTTGCAACCTGCTAAGTAAATTGGTGGTATGATCATACGCACATGCACACGAAGCAGCAGTTCTAGCAGTCGAGCGAACCTCCTGCAGGCTGATATTCGCATGTTTTCGACTACCCCAACGCTGGCAACGGTTTGCAACGCTATCATACACATAAGTTTGGAGTCATATACTCAATAGTAGTAACTTATGTTCTCGATATGCATTTAATGTCCATGCATCTCATTTGTACGCAGCTTTATTCTCCAAATTTTTACACGATAATCCCGACAGCGATTTCTTCACTTATCTGCAGCCACTCAATTTATCGATGAGCCTTACCGTAATGTCTATACGATTATCGAATTCCGTCTTAACTGTCATGCCTAAACGATATAAAATATTTTGCAGCATTTGTATTACATTTTCGTATCGTACACCTGCTCTTAATGTATTCTATTCGAAATCGATTTTGTTTTGCTAATAACCGCTTACCATATTTTTTTGACCTTCTGTTACTATGCCAAATTACGAACGTACTCGGACAAGGTAACTTTAATTTTCGTAACTTTTAATGTTTTCCGACAATTTTGATTTTTTTTTCGCAAACACAGACACTTTCGTATCCTTGTTTGTTGGAAGGGGGCTATTGTAATGCCTCCACATATATTCTAGTCCGCTTAAATCTAACTTGGTTAAGCCCTTTCGATTAATTTATTTAACCAAGCCATTTGTATAGCAACATTTTATATGTACCATTCATTCTAATTATTGTCTGGTTTGTATGAGCTCACATGACGTGTTATTTGACCTTGTCAATCATTCGTCGCTTTTATTCATGTGTGCCTATTTCGCTTGTCATTCTGCCTTATTTTTGTCTGACTATATATTCTTAGTCATGCTCTATTTCTTTGAGTTGGCTGGCTCTTAGCCTTCTCCAACGCGCTTCGCCTATTCGTTCGCTTCATTCGCCCATTCGTACATTCACATATTCGCTCACTAGTGTGTCTGCTCGGTTTGCTTATGGTCTGCTATCCTTTTTTGTGGTGTGCCACAATAAACGTATCCAATACTTCGAATTCATATTCTGATTTACAAACCGTCAGGGGCTGTTTGGCGACGATTGTCTGAACGAGTTAATTACGAAACTTAAGAACACCTAGAAATTGGCACACTAACAGTTGAACCATATGTTTATGCTTGGTAGTTTTGATGTTTAATAATATTTCCTAAGAAGATCTTGGAATAGATTGCTATATGAAACATTCTTTACACTTCAAGCATCTAACTAGTGTGAACCCATTCGTTTAAATTTAGACAAACTTTCTTATATCACTATGAGTGCCAGGATTTTTTGACGGCTATAGGAGATCGGTAGTGATCTGAATAACGCATTGTTAATTTTTCTTAATAGGAAACTAAGTGATGGTATTGGTAATATTAATAATAATCATACATGAGGTGTTAGATTATAGGAAGGATAGTTCTTTTCTGTTGCTTTTCTTTAATCACCGAATAATGTAACAAAATTTCACAATATATTGGAATTTCTGTAATTATTAGTACTATTCTTAGTATTTTGTTCACAGATTTTACGGTTCACATGAAATTTACTTTTTTTTGTCAATTTATGGAGTTATACAAGAACCCTTAAAAGATACATTTTTGACACATATTAAACGGTAAATAAAAAGTAATAAACTAGCGAATGAAATTCAAACAATATTATTTGAATTCTTTATTGACAGATTGTATCTTCGTACTGACATAAGTTAAAGAAATTTTGCAGACCAAAAATACCTAATAGGTGTTCTCAAATTTGAAATCATGAATATCACTTTAGTTACTTACTTACTTACTTAGGCTTGTTACCCTCAATGAAGCATACGCCGCCGACCAGTGTTCTCCAACCTACTCTGTCCTGGGCTTCCCTTTCCAGTTCTTTCCAGTTTTTGTTCATTCTTCTCATGTCTGTCTCCGTTTCTCGGTCTTCCTCTTTTCCTTTGTCTTTGAGGGTTCCAAGTGAGGGCTTGTCTTGTGACGCAGTTAGGTGCTTTTCGCAGTATGTGTCCTATCCACTTCCACCGCTTCTTCCTGACTTCCTCTTCCACTGGAATCTGGTTTATTCCCTCCGATAGTAGATTGTTGCTGATGGTATCTGGTCAACGGATCAGAAGTATTTTGCGTAGACAAATGTTAATAAATACTTGTATCTTGTGGATTATGGATTAGTTCTCCAAGTTTCCGCTCGATACAATAGAACTGTCTTGATATTTGAATTGAAAATTCTGATTTTGGTTTTACTTGATAGTTTTTTCAAGTTCCAGATGCTGTTCTATTGTAGAAATTCAGCCCTTGCTTTCCTGATCCGCGCCCTCACATTTGCACCGAATTCACTCTGATTGTCAGTCATGCTGCCTATATATGTAAAGGTGTTAGCGTCCTCCAAGGCATCTCCATCAAGAGTGATTTGGTTGGTGCATGTTGTGCTGTATCGGAGAATTTCGCTTTTTCCTTTATGTATGTTGGGAACAACTACTGCAGAGGCTGCTGCTACGCTGGTCGTCTTTTCTTGCATTTGTTGTTGCGTGTGAGATAGAAGAGCCAGGACATCCGCAAAGGCCAGATGGTTGGGTTATGGTGTTAGGTTTGTCGACTTTCATGTCTTTATACTAACGTAACATTTTGGATACAAAAACGAAGGCCAGAATCTTAAGTGTACAGCTTAATTACGTAAACAGTGGAGGTAGGTGATGTGATTTGTAATTCTACTCAAGAATTCAAGTATCCCATGCATATTAGTGACTACAGTCATGACACCTAGATCCATCGTTTACTGTCGACTACTTTTCAGTGCTCGATATTTCAACATAGTGTGCACGTGATGTCCAATCAGTTGAACCTATGTCCACATCTTAAGTGACAGACCTCTATTTCTATCACTAATCCGTGATCAATCATTTGTAGATTTCAAAATATTATGTAATATTGATCATTCTTAAAATATATTATATTTGTTTCTCTTAATACATTCTTACTTCTAAGCTAAACTATAAGAAGTTTATATTAGCATTGTAATGACAGATTAACTATTGCCAGAAACACTTTATTGATAAAAAGTAGATCCTTTCCAGCTATGTACTCAGCTGTTTACTCTGACACATTTTTTCGATTAAAGTGTCATTTAACACAGATTCAGTAAAATAAAGTGATACATGAACTTGTATAAAAATGAATTAATGATTGAATTGCTATGATTACATGAAATCAAGTAAGTATTTGAAATAATTTAGAAAATGACGTATAAAATAGATAGTTGCTCAAAGAATAATTAGTTTAGTCAATGTGAATTTATTTTAGAAAAGAACTATTGTTTTTATTTATTTGTATTAGTCTTCATAGATTACTGAATGACTAGAGATGAATGAACAATGGAAACGACAACTATAAACTAGTTATGTTTTATTATTATTAGTAGTAGTATTCATAAATATATCATGTATCAGAATGTAGTCAAAGTATCTAATCGATTTGAATGATACATTTGTAAACATGAAGCTGTCAAAATTAACTGATTATTATTATTATTATTGTTAGTGCTACATAAATTATTTTCTAACGCTAAACTACATTCTACTATGTCAGTCATCATGTTTCAAATGGTAAACTACTGATAATTTCACGTATATATATATATATATATATATATATATATATATATATATATATATATATATATATATATATATCAAATGAATAACTAGTAAATCTAATCTCTGGGTATCACCGTCAATATTGACAAACATGGTTGTAAAAATTGATACTCCAGAAGGGATGAAATCAACATCAACATTTTTAAAAATGTTTTTTGCAATTGACAAAGATGTTAATGGAGAAATTACAAATGACCAAGTAAAGAAATATGCTGAAATGAACAAACTAGATAAAAATGTAATTCAGGTTAGTTGAAGAAAAGGATATTTTTATCAATGTTTGCAAATGTTTATATTGTTTTCAAAATAAAAACAAAAGAGTTAAAGAACCTAATTTGCAATTGTGTACTATAAAAAAATCATTCATTAAATGTAGCTAACCATGATATTCTGGAAAATAAACATCAGAAAGTTAATTCATGTAGGTTTACGCTTAGAATTGGCGTCTAATAGACAGAACCTTTTAGGATGATTTAGTGTACACTTCACCAGTCAATTAAGTTACTGACAGATTTATTGTTTACGATAATATGTTACCATTTTAGTTTTAAATTGATACAAACAGTCAACTAAATTGTTGAAAATGATAGCTACAAAGCTAACAGGCATTGATTATTTTTTGAATGACTGCAATACTAGTTGACTTGTATTTAAATCTCTGGATATGCATCAGTTCCTCCGATAATGTAAATCCACTCGAAATAAATTTTTTCAGTACTGATGAAAAGACAGAGCACTATGATAACCTCAAATATATTGAAAATTTCACTTTCTCTATCATTCCTTGTAAGCAGTTGACTAACGATTACATTGAAATTCATGCTTACAATATATGATGAACAAAAAAAGATTTTTTTCGTTGATTTCGGTGGAAAAAAACTCAATAATGAAGAAAAAGTGGCAGAAATAGACTACTGAAAAATATATGTAAATTGCTGTTTTTATGTATATGTTGAAAAAAAAACCTTATCTGTGTTAAGTACTCACAATCTTAAACGAGAAAGATTTCATTCAAGTATAACTCATTCAGTAAGTTCACTATTGTCGAGTCACCAACAACAACAAAAAAACACTTCACTAAAAGCACGATAGAGAATATTTAGTCATTTCAGTTGTTGTGCGCGCTACTTATAAGTAGTATATGACGCGGGTGAAAACGTAATGTCTGGCAGCAGAAGTTGTGGGAAGATATAACTGTCCAATTTCTTTCCTTCTCACTCAGTCTACCTACTTGAGCATTGAAGTCACCAGCCATTATTACTTCATCACAGTGCCTAAGTTTTTGGAGGAGGTTCGAAAGCTTTCTGTAAAACTCATCTTTCACCCCGTCTGAACTGCAATCAGTGGGGGCATAGGCAGATACAAAGAAGAGGCAACGGCGAGTGTCCCTATCTTTCCGAGTCCGCACTGTCCCTTTCAGTCGGACAGCGCACAAGCGACTATCTACTGGAATCCAGTCTAGGAGAGCTAATTCTGCAATACGACTCAATGCTATACCAACACCAGCAAGACCCCCTGGAAGCAGCATCATGGCTTCCAGATACACGAAGGGTAAATCGAGTTGTTTCTTTATCTTGATATGGAGAGGTCAGGTGAATGACGCTACTCCGATTTTGTATGCGCGTTTCAGAGACGCAGCATATATTTATGGCGCGAGATTCTAAAGTCCTAGCTAATGAAGCCTGTTGCCCTATTTGACAATGTCTGTACATTAAATGCTCCAACATGTAATTTAGAACGGGGTTTCAGTAGACTAGGAATAACGTTTCGTGAACTCTCATCGTTTGCATTAGCGAAGCACTGTGATAAAGGAATGTGAGAAAGAGTTAGTCGTGGCGATAAGAGAGATATTAAGAGGTGTAAAAAGTATTTGATATGACCGATTTGGCCTTCGCAGTGCTGTTACGGAGTATGAGGGCAGTTGTCACTTTCCGGCTGCCCACACCATGGAAGGGTGCTTTCTTGAGGAACCTGATAAGGAGAATTAGATTAGTATCAGTCGTAGAGAACTTGGGAGCGTGACCGCGAGTGCCAAGGGACAACTGCTTGAGGCCGGTCACGCACGGCCTTTTTATGAAAGGCTTTTTGAGTATTAGCTCCGCTCTTAAAAGCCCTTAGTGGGCACCCTTACCGCCAGAGACGGAAATCCGTGAGGTAGGGTGAGGTGTGACAGTTTTAGGGTCGACCTTTTCTAACCCTTCCTTCCTTGTGAGAAGACAGCATTGCTGCAGATGCTGGTTATCCGAGGGAAACACCTTACTGCTGTCACACCCCTCTGACGTCAGCAGTACGACTTCGCCCTCAGACATTCAGTTGCTGTTTTTAGTCTTATCGTTCTCCAATCGACCTGCTTGACATGGTAGAACCTTCAGGAACATATGTTGCAGCCAATATAGCTCGGTTGGATCATCACGATAGGCAAGCCCGACCACCATGTTAAGGTAACAGGTACGGTGAGGACACTTAAAGGTCTTGATTATCTAGGCAGCAGTGACTGGTAAAAATATCCCTACTTCATACAATCAAATCAGAATAATATAAATAACAAATAAAATGTAATTAAACTCAGAAATCAAATACCGGTTGATGCATTCAACTTTAAACAGGTTACACTTTTCGTAATGATTGTGAACGTTAACGAATAGAACTACTTAATAATAGTTTCGATCACTGCCTATTCACCACTGAAAACTTGGACGCACTGAAGGGCTGTCCCGTTCAAGTATGGGAATCCTCACCAGCGCACATCGACAACCTTACACCCGGTAACCGAACCCATAACCCTTGGGCTGGTGCATGAGCGTTTAACCTTCGGAATTCTGAGCCGGCATCCAACAGTTCTCATGTCCAGCTTTTTGAATGAGCACTACTGGGTAGTCGAATACTAAAATTATTATTCACAGTTATATAAATTTCACATTGGTTTTCAGAAGAACCAAAGAGATTCCCCATGTGTTAACACACCATTTATATACATCAATACATATAGTGATCATTTCCGATTCATGATCGTGTCAATCAATATGCACAGAATGAACAGACTAATTTGATCAATCCCGCTTACATGACTGTCAAATTCATTTTTATTAGCAATGGTGATATACAATACAACAACCCAATGACAATGGTCTTCAGGAATGTTGTAAGACAACCACCAATATCAATGAAATCGGTTATCCTGCAAACCAGATTTGCATATGGACTATTAGCAAAACTTGCTAAAGTAATGCCAAATTATTCATAATGTTCACAACGAACCACTGGTCTTGGAAGAAATCTTCAGCTCAATATAGCAATATAGCTTAACATAGTTAACTTTTAGTAGTAACTTATAATAATAACATACTTACCTGCGCCAATCAACTACTGAATATGGTGTTTGTGCTCGACTAATCTGTTCAGTAATATTAGCAGAAAATGGTGTTTTCAATTGATGTTGTAAAGAATTTGTTGGTGGAAAACTTCGAAAACCACCAACTGGTGTACCAACACCAACACTAAAATAACCCGATTCATATGTATATTGACTTGAATTAGTTAATGAAGATTGTTGTGTAAGTAAACTGGTAGTTGATGCTAATTTCACATTAGAATAAGATGTAGAAAATAAATAAGGATTTGTAGTGATATGTGATTTTGATTGTAAATTTTGATAATGTTGTGGTAGTGATTCAGTATTTGTGAATAAATTAAAATTTTTTTGAATTTGATGTTGACTAACAACAACTGGCACATTGGAACAATCATCGTTCCAATTACTGAAAAAGTTGAAAAGAGAAATTGAATTTATTATATATGAGGTGAGGAGAATTACTTAAAGTGTTTACTAATGATTAGTCAGTTTAAATTGAAGAATTGCTGAGAAAAAAATCCTAGAAATAAAAAAAAGTATATAAAAATGTAAATTTCAAGGACAAAGAAAAATACATTAAGATAATGAAAATATTCATATTGTAATGAATGAATGAATGAATGATGTTAAGGGTTAAAGAAAACACAGAATACAATAAAGATAGGAAGATGTGTACACTTTGCCTTTAGATTTTCATCGGCAAAACAATCAAATTATTAGCTGTTTTTTTCTTTCACATACCTTCTAATCTTCAACAAACACATTGACTAAACCATACATATTGAAATCCGACGCCTTTCTCTTTAGCAGTAACTTCTGGACGACATCACAATACCACTAGAATAATATGTATGTATGTAACGCATACTTACAATGTCAATGATCAATCATAAGAAACATTTACATTGAAATATGATTTATGTTTAGTTTATTCATCATAAGTTCGTATTCACTTTTACCTCCTACTATATATAGCCTGATGTGAATATTGCAAGTATGCGTACTTAAATGTATCTTAATCAAGGGGCACCTAAATATTTATACGCCACAGAAATTGAATTTTTAAATTGCCTGAGATACTGTCCAGGTATGGTGAACACTACTGATAACATGGCTTATAAGCAGTATGCAGCGGAGAGCCGTCCATAAGTTACTTATTAAACAGAATAGTCTCGAATCCGGATGTATGGCGTGACCAGAGCATTTCTAAAACTAAAACGCATGTGAAAGAAGACAATCAGTAATCTGCTTGTTTTATAAATAGAATTCTGAAGATTGGGCGTACGTATTTTTTTTACTAAGTATATCACTATTTCATCTAGTCTTGACATCTCTACTAAATGCACATGTACCCAAAATGTAACAGATGGCTTCCTTAGAGAGCCATTCATCGAGCCTTTGTGACCTGGAGGTCTGAATCACAGGGTAGTGGAGCAGCACCAGGACATACGGCTCCATGAAAACCGATTATCGACAATAGGTTTGTTCGCTAATTTTCTCCTCGGGATATTGGAGCCCCTTTGGACCGTGGATTTGGAATTACAGTTTTTCAACTCTCCTAAGTGGATCTTCCGTATCCATTAACCCAGTTAAAGCCCTGGTCAGTTATTCAATTAATTAGCCAAAAATAGTTGACTAACTTTTTTACATAATAGTAGAGTAGTGAAAAACGCCTGGCCATCTAAATATCTATTTTTAGTTAAAATGACAGTAAACAATATAAAAATATTATCAGTAATTGGGAAGAATGAAAAAAACACTTTGTAAAAAATATTCTTAGATTTTTAGAAATGTTGCTTACAACTTAATGTTGCCATTTTCGTGTTTCTTAGAATCAGGATCATGTAGGTGGTAGACGAATTGAGATCGTACCTATTGAGTAGACGATTTCACATTGAGATGGATCATAAGCCCCTACAGTGGTTTAAAACAGCAGAAGATCCCCGAGAGAAGTGGATGCGTTACATGCTACGTCTGCATGAGTACGATTTTAGTACCGGGCATGTTTCGGGAAAGGAAAATGTAATGACAGATCACTTATCAAGGTCGGAAATAGAAGACGAACTTCCCTTGACAGCATACACAGTAAATACCCTAAAGGGAGTCCCATAAGAACTTCAGAAGGAAAGACTGAGGATGAACATGTACGGGGCCCAGACCTAGCGGGATGATGAAGAGAACTGAGTGGCAGTAATTCCGAAAGCCATGTGCCATAAGATGATTTGTTAGTGTCCTCAATTGGCGCATAGAGGTATTGCGAGAATGACTGAATTATTACGACAAGGTACGTACTGACTAGGTATAAAAAACGATGTTGCATAATGTGTTAGTCTACGAGCGGTGTAAAGTTACGAAAGGTGACCGATGCATACGGCCACTATTGAAGTCAGTCCCAGTAACAGCAGTTGATGATCTATAGTCAATGGATATAATGAAACCGTTTACGCAAACGGTATGCAGTAATCAGTACCTGCAAGTGATGAAATAACACGCTACACGTCGGGTAGATGCCATGCCGATCGCAGACCAGTATGCAAGAACAATAACGGAAGTAGTAATCCGACACATTGTAGCGGGCCATAGAATACCAAAAGTGATATAAACTGATCAGATTCCCTGCTCCGAAAGCGACGAATTCAAATCCTGTCCAAAGTAGTTGGGTACCAAAAGAATACGAACGACATCTTACCGCTCATAGACGACTGGCTTAACAGAAAAGAACAACCGGACGCTAAATGAGTGGTCAGCATTTAAAGGAGGGAACTGAGAGAAAGGGTTACCACTAATTTCGCTGACACAGTGCCTCCATACAAGGAACAACTATGAAGTTACCGTTCCAACTGATGTATGGTAGACAACCACGACTACCAATACATAATATGACCTGGTCGCAGCAACAATGGTGAACTACAACAAGATTTAGAACAGAGCAGAGGTAGGCGACCAGAAACCTGAAGGAGAAACAAAGTTTACACACGAAGAGGGCGAAACATGGAGAAAATGAGATGGGAGGTCTTTGAAGTTGGGGACCAAGTAAAGTGTAGAGGACAAACATACACCACAAGGAGGATCAGGATCCCTGAGGCTGATTCCAAAGTAGGGAGGACCATACGCCATCACAGAGGCACGGAGCGGTTTACACGATCCGAAAAGGAGACAAGCGAAAGCACGCAAACGTTAGTCAGATTTAAGGACGGTTCCAATTGCATCAGGAGGGCGAATCACCAACATCAACACAGGAAATAGCGGTACAATGATCTGAGCAACTGTGAAAGCGACATGTTGGAGAGATGAGTGTGGTGTGGGCTACCCATACGGACAGATACAAGTGGTGCATAATGGGAACAGGTAGTGGAATTCTCAATGGTAGAAGAGTGGGAAGAAAAATAAGACACAACCACAGTAGCACTAAGAATGAATGAACGGCGGAGATTGTAAGGGATAAACTCAAGAAAGGTGTGCAGATGGTGCACTTAATGTATTGTTTACATGTTTTACCAAGTTATTGTGTAATTTTTTATTAGTACATTTGAAGTTAGAGACTCCCACACTATGACGAAACATGTGCTCAAAACTTTATGGTTTTCAATGATACTCAAACCAAGATTAGTTTGCCACGAATACCATTGTCAAATTACACTAGTCTCTACAAAGTTCCCTTAACTAGAGAGTTGATTTTGAAAAATGAATTCTTGTTTTTAAAAAGACCCATGCCACTTACTCTAGACAACTTTTTGGAACAGGATGTTGAGTCGGTGGAATAGTAGACCAGGAAGATGATAAATAATTGTTTGACAATGTATAACCAGTATCATGAACAAAAGTATTTCTTTCATGTAAATGATGAGATGTTGTATCAGGCGTAGTTGTAGTCACTGTTGTTGAACCAACTGGATCATATAAAAACGGACAAACATTTGGAATTTGAGACTTTTGCAATAATTCTTCATCTAATTTAACCGGAACAGTCTCTTTCATCGGTATGTTACTATTACTACTACTAGGTAGTAGTAGTCGTTGAGCAACTCGTTCATCATGAATATTTGATGCTAATGGATACACACCGGTATGAGAGTTAGATACACCGGAGCCATGTATATCTTTACGATCGATCTGGAAAGTGAAAAATAAATAACAAGTATTATAAATGATATAACTTATATGGTATTATCACTTATAACCAACGTAGGACCTGGGGTAGATAGACATGCATGAGTTCAAGATGATATAACAAATAAGTAGAGATGCAATTGACATGATGATACTGGCACTGAAAAAATTCAGAATGTTGATAGTATCATCAGTGCTAATAAAAACGATCAACCACAAAAAGTATGGTTTGTGGGGATGATCAATAAAAACCAACTTTGCAAGTAATTTTAATTATTATAGCCATTTTTAAAATTTTAATTTGTACATCTCTCATTTACTTACTTACGCCTGTTACTCCCAATGGAGCATAGGCCGCCGACCAGGATTTTCTAATCTACTATCCTGGGCCTTCTTTTCCAGTTCTAGTCAATTGCTGTTCATTCTTTTCATGTCTGTCTCCAATTCTCGGAGTCATATGTTCCTTGGTCTTCCTTTTATCCTTAGGCGTTGAGTATTCCAAGTGAGGGCACGCAGTTAGGTCCTATCCACTTCCAGCGCTTCTTCCGCCGGGATCTGGTCTGTCCCATACAACGTTGTTGCTGATGTCGTCTGGCCAACGGATGCGAAGTATTTTGTGTTTACAATTGTTAACAAACGCTTGTATCCGGTGGATGATGGCATTCGTGAATCTCCAAGTTTCCGCCCCATACAGTAAAATTGTCTTGATATTTGCATGGAAAATTCTGGTTGATAGTTGTTTCCACGTCTCTCATTAATGACTTATACAAATTGTTTAAATTGTAATGCTGCTTTTTCAAAGCAAATGTAGCTCATTTATTGACAGTCGTTCACAACACACTTTATAAAACCGCTCCCTACTCTCGATTACAATGTTGACCGTTTTCCAGTAGGGGAGCATAACTAAACTTGTCACCGTTTTACACATGGGTGTCTCAATACTACTTGGAAACTATTCTAGAAGGTGGACGCATAAAACTTATAGCATACGGAAGTACAGTTTCGTGCTTATAAATCCGTAAACCTTTCAAACTTTTTGCTATGCTACTTTTCTACACCAGAAAGTAACTACTGATTGTAACCGTTTTTATAGTTATTTGTGCTATAGCCATTGGGTTAGCATTTTCGCTGTTTGATTCAGACCAGATTCAAAAAGGAATTAGACCAACAAATAAAATGCACGAGACAATGCGCAGATCAAATGTTTGGAGCAGAATAGAGAATGAATGCATCTTCAATGTAATTGATTTTGGACCGTATTAAATAAAGCCTCCAACCAAATATCATGATTATGACAGATCTAAGAATAATGTATGCCAGTCTCCATAATCAAAAATCGTAAAAAAGGTCTAACAAATCAAAAAACATTCTAATATGCTTTTTTATCCACTCAAATATCTTAAATGCCTGAAGGAAAAACTACCAAATGAGTTATATCTATTCTACAGACAAAATTATTTGTATATTCTATATTCGAAATACAAACGAGATGATTTTTTTACATTTTGCAATAAAATACTAAGTATTTATCAAAACATGAAAGTAATAATCTTTAATCTAAGAACATCTCTGTATTATTAATGCAAACAGAAACCCATTAGAAATCTATGATTATTTGAAATTCCCTTATTGATGTGCAAGATTAAAATGAAAAACTAAAGCCTTACTGAGATATTTAACATATTTTTACTACTTACCTGTCCACTGATTTCCATTATAAGGAAAAAACAGGAATGTGTAACCAATCCTGAACAACATAGAATTTAGAGTACATCTGTATTAGCTCAAGTCGAAACACTCCAAATTAGTATATGAAGTACATAAATTAACAGAATTTAAAATCGAGGACAATAATATAGATAGAAGTGAGAACTTAAAAATAAGAACCATAATTTAAGAGGAACAGGTTGCACTCAGGAGTGAAAAATATGAATTATTAAGAAGACTAGAATCCCGAAGATTACAAATGGATATATTTTTGGTACGGTAACAGGTGTCGAACCTTTTTATCTAAGGTTTTTATTCTATATTATAATTATCTCACATATCTCAACCAATAAATCTATGACTACCTACATGCCTAACACCAATTCAACGACCTCAGCACTAACTATTGGTAGGAGCACTTGACATCTAAAAAGTGCTAAATTTGGTAAAAGAACCTTTTAAAATAAGATAACGGTGGGGGTAATTATTTCATAGACAAATGTACGACTTGAAGATAATTATCTTTGAAAAAAGATTGTTTCTTAGTACGATTTATTCTTCATATAACTACTTTAACTAGCTGAACTGGTGATTTGGAACAATGGAGATTTGATTTTATGCTCTCATTATACTTCAGGTGTTATTCAACAGTAAATTAATGCCAGTCATTGAAGTTCCTTCCGTCATTGATTAGACATAACTTTGTCTAAATGTATAGACCACATTTTCACACTACGACAGGTCCTGGAACACAGACACACATTTAGACATAACTTTACAGGAAACATGTAATAAACGCTCTGATTACCAAAAGTAGACCTATGACATACAACTAGAGCACTGGAGGTACCGTCTTACAGAATGTAGTACTGAAGACTTCTGATTGCCGACAGGTTATAATCCTACAACTAGCAAAGGAAACTTTAAATACTAGATATGTGCTAAAATAATAGTATTTTCTGTGTCCCCAAAAGATCTAACAACACTTTGTTGACAGATGTTTCGAAAATGTGACCTATTTGATAACTCAATGAACTGAAGATACCATGGGTAGGTATATTGCAATGACTAACACGCTATGTATGTATATTGTAGAGGTGACCTATCTGGTTACTTGCCTATGAAACGAAGTCATTTACTAACATAAGGGTTGCAGTTACTTGATTAGATACGTCCAATAAGTCATTTTCAATGAAATACACACGTCTGATAAATATATGCTGGTTAATAAACGCGAGTGGGGAAAATCAATAAACGTCAAAAAGCATTCTTTGAAACCAATTCTACGAGTTAAACTACAGATAGTTTTTACCACAAGAATAAAGGCGTTATTCCGCCTTCAAGCCTTTTTATGATACTGTTTAATTGTTCGTAGTTCTTTTTTATCAGGCACTGATGCTAAGTAGAAAGCAAGTGAAAATAAGACCCTGGATAGTTACTTTTTTCATTGTGGCTGAGTAGTAATATTTGCTCTCGTTATGGTTTTACCGCAATGTCACTAGAAACATCAATACTGACTTATCTATCATTAACTGTACTTAATTACCAACTGATATTCCAAGTATTTCAGTCGTGAAAATTATGCTTTCCTAAACGACTCACACAAACCTACGTACCAACAGAAAGATTGCAGCTAACTAGTGAAGTTATGTACATACTTTTCCGGCTCCCATGTGGCTGGATCAAAGTAGTTACCAGCCGCGTCGTGAAGTCAAAATCACGTTTTCCTAACTTAGAGAAATAATCAGACAGAAAAAGCAACATAAAAATGCAAACTATGGAACATAATCTAACACCCATAAGCTGTAGCACGAAGTAAACTCACCGTCATAGATTTCTGTAAGAACGAGGTATCCTTGTTAGAATTATCAGACGTCTTCTTTGTCTGGTAGTCAGCATTACTGATATTAGACAAGGAGTATGCCTTCAAAATCCCCGAACGATTTGGAGTATTTCCAGGTATATGACTATGATCAATCGATAACGGAAGGGCATCGTACGCATGTGCAATCTGAATGTAATATTGTGAAACTAAATGATGCAAAAATAACATACCTTGCAAATCTCCTGAGCATCCCTCATAGCAGCTGCAAAGTTTGCTGTAGAAGCTGCTTCCTTCATTTTGAGAAGCTCTATCTTCTCTTTGAAATTTCGTGGATTGGAGTACCCGATATGTTTAGTTGTCATCTCAGCCTCGTAACATTTACTCACTGAAGTTAACTATTAGGATGAAGCACACAGAAATAATTTTTAAAGTTTCGATAGAATGAAGTCCGTAAGAAGATAGCTTGAAATCTTTGTTGATACGCTTTATCTATGAAACAGAATTTCCAATTAGTTGATTAGAAGGTTCAGAGTATCGCTTTGAAAAACACAGAATCTTGCAGCATGATAGATCTGTCACACTCTATATTTCATTTAGTTTCGGATATATAGCGTGGATAAATAGGAGAATGTCCTAATGATTTCCAACAAATAACAACAGCACCATCATAATGCTTGCTGCTTTAAAAGCCGCCTTTGTCAACCTAGAAGTTTAAAACTCTTATTTTATGACCTTCAGGTGTTCAGTTTTTATCATACGAAAGTAGAGGAAGAAGAGTACGCTGACATCTGCGCTTAGACCTTTAAAGACATTTATCGAATTAGAACAAGTTTGGGCTGATGGTTTGGTCCCAATGGGCAGAAATAATACTTAGGAGCTTTGAAGTGATCCAATATCCAATATATTTTTCACGAGCTAGTGTAAACCAGTTTGATTTCTTCGAGCTCGATTCTTGTTCTTTCGGTACGGTTCCAGGTGTTCAGTAGCTAAAACTAGAAAATGTCAAAACCTGTTATGGAATTAGAAAATTAGTATGTGATAGAAGACTAAAAGTACTGTGAACTAGCAGCTGCGACGATTTGTAAAACTACAGCGAGTCTGAAACTGTTTTACCTTAATCAGCAAATTATAGAAATCCGTGAGTCAGTTTTTTACCAGTCTAGAACTACTAGTACCTGAAGGGCTATTGCACCCAACGGCTTCACGGTTTTATGTATAATCTGTCTATTAATCTAGTAGTATGTGGTGTTAAATCTATCCTTTTAATAAATAGTTCTGTCAGTCTTCCATGTGCACACTGACTTTGTTAGTTTTACTACAGATACTGTAGGATTTAATTTGCCCTACAGATGTAATTCTAGAACGGTAAACGCAATATTAGCGAGCACAGAGTCTATAGGAAAGCTACAGTTAGAAGATCAACTTTGCTTTAAACCTTATCTGTTTCTAAACATAAAAACAATTAAATTAGTACAATAAGTGAGGAAATTACAATTATCAAGTAAGACGAGCAAACATTCCTACTAATATAGCGTGTCTTTAGAAATGAATAAAAGCATGAGTGACATTATAATAAGATGATAATGACATTTGATTAGTAGGTCATTTACTTCAAAAAAGGTTTACAGACACGTCAGACCAGATCACGTGAAGGGCGCTTAAACCACAGTCTGATTGGTTAGTTATGACATAACTACAATTAGTTATAAAAATAACTAACAGATATCCTATACAAATGCACTTATTCACGCATCCGCGTCTGGTTACCGTGAGGTACCCCGTACAACGCATCTCCTCATACTAGCTAGCAAGCTCAATTAAGTGAATTCTCGGTAGGCCAACCATCATTCAAATACGACTTATATCCTTCTTATTTTTGACTTCTGGTTTGACTTGTATTTCAGTATTACCTATCAGAAAGGTATTAAGAACTATATAGTTGTCAAGTACAGGTCGAAAACTTTATTTGATGATGAAATAATATCTATATAACAACACGCTTAAACAGTGTATGCCATCTTTTAGATAAATAAAATATTCTTAACTGTCATCTACGTGTTATCTTGATTATATTTTAATCAAATTCTTATAGCCCCGTTCGCCTTCTCGATCATCGTCTGTCCGTACTGAATGTTGTCTGGAATCTATATATTTCAAAACCATTGTAAGATATTGTGCATTTATCTAGGGTGTGTCCCGTAAAAATAAATAGCTCAGTATCCATATCGAAGGCTAACAGAAATACTTGTTTTAAGGTATTATTTACTTATTTAGAAACCTGTTTCCGATTTCAACATGGCTTCCCATATTCATCAAGTGGACGGAAGGAGCAGATCATCAACATCAATATCATTTCATTTTTATACAATCCGAAATGTACTAAAAGCAGAAATGATTTCTTGCTCAGAAAAGTAAGTCATCATATACGAATATTTAATTTCACTTATTACAGTGTATATCCAGGATCGTAGTTATGGTTGGATTAGAGGGAATAGTCTGGAGGTATCCCAAGAATACCTTGTTAGTTGGCATTATCTATCCCTCTTTATTTTATTTCGGATTTCGCTCAGAAGCCCTGCGAATATGTTCTAAACCATTTAATCTTCTTTCGCTAGACATAAGTTACATGCTAGTTATTGTTTCACCTATATTTAACCTCTCTTCTGTATGACGCCGAACCATTGGCAATAAGATCCGGCTTGACTAAACCCACGGTTACAGTGAGCAGAAGTTGACCATTAAGAAATTTCAACTTCCTGTTTGGAACAGGAATAATATTTCCTAAAATCAAAATCATAAAGAGTAGTGGGTCGCAAACGGAACACAATGCCTAGATTACAAGTAGACCTCATGAGGAAATCAAATCCTGAATACTTAGTAGAATCCTTTTCGGAAGGCTTTGTTTGGGAAAATCCCTCCATGTATACATTTGTGATATTTTCTTATTGACTCTTTCTGTTCTACATTTTGGTGGTCTCTTTAATCCCATTTTCGGGATGTCAGTATTTGTATTTTGCTATAGTTCCTAATTTTTATACCTTTTTTGAGTCTCTATGTTTCTTCCTGAACTGTACTATGTTATTTGAGTCGATACTTAATTATGGCGACAGCCATATCGAATGTTGGTTCTCGGGCGTTTGATACGTTCATCTGGACTGGAAGGGTGCAATTCGAATCGGAATCGAAGCATTCTTCCAGAATTAGAAACACTCTGTGTTATTACGGAAGGAGTAAAGGTTGTAATACTGTGAAGGTAATGATATATGATCAATAATCGAACCGTTACTTACCCAGGTCAATTGCTTTCTTTTTTGGATTAACTAGGTAGGGCGCGTATCTAACTTT